AGCATTGAGCATTTAGCTCGATGCGGCATTATTTAGTTTTGTTGCTTTTTTCACAGTTACAATTTGGCGAGCTATGCGCAAATTGCATAAAAGCACGCACCGCTTGCTTATTTTTATGTAATTGTTTTGTTGTCGTTTTTTCATATTTAATTTTTTTATAGATATATTTGTTAAAATTGTTATGTGTATGATTGCGTGTCGTTTGTCGTTTGGTTATGTTAATTTGACTGCTGTTTGCAGTTTTATGCTGGTTTTTTGTTCATTAAATATGCATGACATGCAAATGGCGGTCTCATGCCAATTAACTCTGATCGATTCAACAAAATGGGCGACAGCATTTTATGAGCAATTAATGTGGTTACCACTGCGGTTGCCACATGCAACCGGCGGCAAATTGATTGCAACTGAGCGACACTCCAGCCCGAATGTCGAAGATCTTATCAGACTTCAAACAGACACAAACGTTCAGTATGAGAATTTTCAATTTCATTTAATTAGAATGTCAGCCCCAGTCTGATTTATGTTTGTGGTCTAATCAAATTAAATTCCCATAGCCTGCCGCTTGCATGTCGCGAATAATTAGAATAACATGCGAAATTTTTCACTCATTATAGTTTAGGCAGTCCAACTCTAGACTGTGTGTACTTTGGCATGTGCATTGCAAACTCCAGCAAATATATGATAATATTCATAAAAATCGCTGCAAATGCAAAATTTGCACATTGCCGGTCTGGGCTGTTGGGTGTGTCCCTGCCCGTCGTCATATATTTAACGCTTCGCTGAATGCGCCGCAAATGCATAAATATTCGTATATATTCAGGGCGTGTATTCCCAAAAACGCCAAACGATACAATTATGGCGCAATCACAGAACCGAACCGAAATACCTACATAAACACAATTTATTTGCTTTGCGCTATGCACATTTAGAGTTAATGGCAATGACACGATATTTTTAGCTTAAAACAATAAAACATGCAAGAGCTGGCAGTGCAAGACGGCCGAATGCCCTATAAAAGTTACCTAAATGAATGAAATAAGTAAGCAAGGATACGTAAGGGGTTTATATTTATGCTAGTTATCCCAAAACAATCGCGTGTTATTTATTTTAGGGATGGAGATCAAAACGTTTTGTCTGACAGTTATAAGAGAGTAGTAATAAGTATCTCCTCTCGTTTGGGAGACATTTGCTAAGGTATCAAACATTTTTTCCAGCAATATCTCATTTATTATATATTTCCAGAGCATAAGATAAAGCTATTCGACTCAAATTAATGAGTTCGCTTGAAACACAAATTTACCATAAAAAATTAAGCGCTTTCTCTAAAAACATTACATACAATTATAATGCTAATCACCATTGCTTTCTTACCTTTTTAAGCTGTTGCTCACATTTGCGAAGCTTTTCCAAGAAAACTAACAAAGACTGTCGCCTGAAAGAAAAGAAAAAATGTCGCTTTATAAACTTATAATCTTTCTATGTAGAAAAATCAATTGCTCGATTAGAAACTTAAGCATAATAGTAAAATAATATCAATGCAATTTTATGTTATATCGCCATACTATTAAGAACAAATGTTACATAGCTAGGCAAAATCTTATGCTACTCGCTGCATCATTATGACAGCATTACGGACAAGTTTCGACCACACGGCGGCAGACATTTGAAATGAGGCAAAAGTGTTGCATACTTCGCAATGCCTGAACATTTAATGGCGCCGCTTTAACTCGTGTTGCCTATTTTTCAGCGATGCGTTCTCAGCACGACCCGAAGCTGAATGCAGAACTCTTGTTACCTTTGCGTTTCTCTTTTGTTTTTTATACCCAGTCACAATATGAGCAGAGTTTAATTGTTTAATTGTGTATTTATTTATATATAGATGTATATATTTAATTATATATTATATATTTAACTTTTTATTTATATATTTAGTTGTTTACTCTAATATTAACTAATTTACTTTTGTTTTAATTACATTTTGATTGATTTTCATCCCTCTGTCCTTATGAACGTATTTTTTAGTTAAATTTTGATTAGACTTTGAAATTGGTGTACATAATCCTGTACATCCTTTTTAGATAAAGTGTTGTTTTTATAAGATCTGTTTCATTTACACTATGAACTCAAATATTTTGGGTGTTATTCAAATAAGCTACTGAAAACTTGGTATATACACTTAGGTATGTCCGCGTTAAGAGTTAAATTTTGTGGCCCGCCCACTAGGGGTGCGCAAATAGCGATTATAAAAACTTGCTTTTTGAAGCAACAGTCTCCTTAGACTGTGATTCTATTTTGAAGATCACCCTAAAATTGACCTCTGAGGTCTCCATACCTTCTACAGCTTAAGATCTAAATTACTTAAAGGAGCATTGAACTCACTGTAGATTTTTATATAAAGATCGATGTATCCTATGAATGGACTGAAAAGGGGTATTGCGCGGTCGCTTAGACCCGACTGCACCATTTATATTATTCTATGTTTTTGATGTTGTTGTTGCTGCTGTCGGTTGTCGGTTGTCGCTGTTGTTGCCACTTGAGCGTTGCCCCGTTTCTCATTATTCTTGTTGCCATTATTAGAATACTTTTCTCTGCTGTCGTTAACGCTCGTCGTTGTTGTTGTTGTTGTTGCTGTTGTTGTTGCTGCTGCTGTTGACTTACTCAAGAGCAATTAACATGCAAATAAGGCCTATTAGTTACCTAAACGTCAGTCTGTCAGCTGCTGCGTCTCTCAGAGTCAACGGCAGCCGCCTGTTTGCTGCTAACTGGTTGCCGCCTCTCATTCTGGACACCTTTTCGTGTGCACTTATTGGCCTCTTAAGGGCGCGTGGGGCGTTGCGTTTTAATGAGTTACTAATTTTCAGGGCTGGCTGCGAGTGACGTCGCGCTGTTCGCTTCAGACATTTCCAAAAATTCTTAATTGTCTATTTAGGAGCGATGGCCGCTGGCCGTTCATAACATTAAAGTTAACGTTTATGTTTTGATGTATACCAAACTTTTTGATTTCAAAAATTACATGCCCAAACATTTTTGTAAACAAAAAAGGGTTGCCTCTTGCAACTGCGTCTTCATGAAGTTAATCCATAAAGCAAGTCCCTCAGTTTGGCAGTTCTTCTTGGTGTTTCAAAGTGTTTTGCACGGGAATTTTAGGGTAAGGAAGGAATAAAGTCTTAAAGCTTATATTTTAAACAAGAAAAGTTATGTGAAATTGTAATTAAATCTTGTCAATCAAGAAATTTTCTTAATTTTTTACAAGAGGTTCAAATCGAATGAAGCTCTTTAATCAAGCAAACGTTTCAATCTATTGGAAGGTGTTTATCTAGAAGATCCCTATTTAAATCCACGCATAATTTTATTTTAAATTAATTCCATTTTTAAATTATATGAACTCAAGCTTGAAAATGTGGTCTTGTGTCTTGTCTTGCAGATAGAAAAGCAGATATATGCAAAGCAATTAATCCAATCTAACCAAGCTGCCCATATAGAGTATTCCGTAGTTTAGACTACCCAATAATTACCTATATCTCATGATCTTTATACTTAATAAGCCAACTAGCTTTCCATTTATAACCTTAGCCTGTTGCCTTTGCAGGGCATCTCTCAGTTCATATGCCCTTGTTAGTTCTTTTATCGTTTGATTGTTATACCTAAAATTCTAAGTAAACCCTCTCCGTACGTAATCTAATCACTTTTTCTTTTTGTTTGCCTCATTTATCGAATGCTCTTTTCTCGTGATTGGCGCATGAAATTTTTATGAACTTTGCCTTTTGCAATTAATGTTAATTGATCACTTGAATTTGTGCATTTTCATTAAAACTTTTCAAAGTCGCGCCCCAGTTGGGTCAACATCATTTGCCACGAATGAGGCATTCCTTAAAAAAAGAAAGAAAAAAAAACAGAACAGAACAGAGAAGAAGAGAAGAGAAATATTTACACAGCTCCTGCGGTAATTTATAGTCCTGGCAAAGGCAAAGGCAGCTGCACACAATGCTCGAGGCTATGGATTCTGGACTCTGGTCAGTGGCACTGGCAGCAAGTTTAACACCCGACCAGGCCCGCAAATTGCCATTGAATGTGCAGCAGCACCTGCAGTGTGTGTCTGCGTGTGTGTACATATACACCTACACACACGCACACATTCGCACGCTCACATAATGGAGCTGCGGTGTGGACAATGAATGCTGAGGGTGATGATCCAACGTGATTTATCTACTGGCGCTGAGGTTAAAAGTTTTGCGCATACTCTCATTGTTTAGGTCAGGATTCCCTTTGTATGCACAGCACAGTTACACACTCCCACCCACACACACACGCACACACACACACACCTTAAACCACACGTGCTATAGACACTGCATAGAGCTGAATGGTCATGCAAATTCCCATGCCATGTCAGGGCTGTCAGAGTGCGTTGAATAATATGCTAGCCCCAACATTGAATGCTAGGTACGCAATTATTAAACTTTCGGCATAATTTTGGCTTCCAACTTTTGGCTTTAACCATGATTATTTGATCCGTTTTAACGTCGGCTAAGCCGTTTAGCCAGATATCGGATGCCAAAGGCCTGCACCACAAGATGCTGACAGCCAGCTCATTATTTAGCCTCGCCAAGTGTAACTAATTATTGTCGGCTCGCTTTTCGTTTTTGCCGCACTTATTGACAGACTCTGCGACTGCCTCTTCCTTTGCCTGTGCCTCTGTCTCGCCTTCTGCCTCTGCCTTGTGCAATATTTTGCTGACGCTTCACTCGGATCCATCATTTTGTGCAGCCATCTGCGACACGTGGCCCCTCAGTTGGCTAATAAATCTTAATCAGGCGCTGTCCCAGTCAAGCCACAGTTATGTGGGCGTTGCCTATTTGCGGCTTTTACTGCCATAAACACTTTTTTCTTGCTGCCATCGTTTCTCTCTTTTTTTTTTTTTTTTGTTTTTCTGGCTGCCAGCTTATCATATTACTGGACATTCATTGGCCTGCGCGGACTAAATTACGAGTCTGCAAGTCTTATCGAGTAAACACATTTCAATGCTGATCAATTTATTATTTAGTTTGCTGAATATTTAAGTTAAAAGTGTTGCCGTGACATCAACGGCCCCTAATGGCATCATTTAGAGTCCAAGATCATGCAAAAGCTTGTCCCACCAGCCTAGGGTTGTGGTAGCAGCCGGTGCCTCAGTGGTCACACTCCAGCTGGGCGTAGTGTTATTCCATTCGGGTGCGGGACTCGTCCTATTCCAATTGGGGCCCAAAGTTGTCCGGTTCCAGCTTGGTGGGCTTGTAGTTGTCCAGTTCCAGCTTGGGTTTCCCGTAGTTGTCCAGTTCCAGTTTGGATTGCCCGTGGTGGTCCAGTTCCAGCTTGGGTTGCCCGTAGTGGTCCAGTTCCAGCTTGGGTTGCCCGTGGTGGTCCAGTTCCAGCTTGGGTTGCCCGTGGTGGTCCAGTTCCAGCTTGGGTTTCCCGTAGTTGTCCAGTTCCAGATTGGGTTTCCCGTAGTTGTCCAGTTCCAGTTTGGATTGCCCGTGGTGGTCCAGTTCCAGTTTGGGTTGCCTGTGGTTGTCCAGTTCCAGTTTGGGTTGCCCGTTGTTGTCCAGTTCCAGTTTGGGTTTCCTGTGGATGTCAAGTTCCAGTTTGGGTTTCCCGTGGTTGTCCAGTTCCAGTTTGGTGGGGCTGTGGTGGTCCAATTCCAGCTAGGTGGCTCTGTAGTGGTCCAGTTCCAGCTTGGGGTGCCCGGGGTTGTCCAGTTCCAGTTTGGGTTGCCCGTGGTTGTCCAGTTCCAGCTTGGTGGCTCTGTTGTGGTCCAGTTCCAGTTTGGATTACCTGTGGTTGTCCAGTTCCAGTTTGGAGGTGCTGTGGTGGTCCAGTTCCAGCTTGGTGGCTCTGTTGTGGTCCAGTTCCAGTTTGGATTACCTGTGGTTGTCCAGTTCCAGTTAGGTGGGGCTGTTGTGGTCCAGTTCCAGCTTGGTGGCTCAGTTGTGGTCCAGTTCCAGTTCGGATTACCAGTGGTTGTCCAGTTCCAGTTTGGTGGTGCTGTGGTGGTCCAGTTCCAGCTTGGGGTGCCCGGGGTTGTCCAGTTCCAGCTTGGGGTGCCCGTGGTTGTCCAGTTCCAGTTTGGGTTTCCGGTGGTTGTCCAGTTCCAGTTTGGGTTTCCCGTGGTTGTCCAGTTCCAGCTTGGGGTGCCTGGGGTTGTCCAGTTCCAGCTTGGGGTGCCCGGGGTTGTCCAGTTCCAGCTTGGGGTGCCAGGGGTTGTCCAGTTCCAGTTTGGTGGGCCTGTTGTGGTCCAGTTCCAGCTTGGGGTGCCCGGGGTTGTCCAGTTCCAGCTTGGGGTGCCCGGGGTTGTCCAGTTCCAGTTTGGTGGGCCTGTTGTGGTCCAGTTCCAGCTTGGGGTGCCCGGGGTTGTCCAGTTCCAGCTTGGGGTGCCCGGGGTTGTCCAGTTCCAGTTTGGTGGGCCTGTTGTGGTCCAGTTCCAGCTTGGGGTGCCCGGGGTTGTCCAGTTCCAGCTTGGGGTGCCCGGGGTTGTCCAGTTCCAGCTTGGTGGGCTTGGAGTTGTCCAGTTCCAGCTTGGTGGGCTTGGAGTTGTCCAGTTCCAGCTTGGTGGGCTTGAGCTTGAATTTCCAGTGGGTCCAAAAGCCTGAGAAATGCAATTTTCCAGGCCAACAGATGACTTCTCCAGTTCACGCAGAGTTCTCTTAATTTCGTGGGTAACACAACGTTGGGTCTGCCAGAAATTTTTATGCATGGGACGCACATCACCAAACAGATTCATGACCTAAATTAAGACCCTTCGATTAGTAAGCCCCTTGCCAAATGGGTGGCTATATCCGCCTTACCGAATCCGCATAGCAGTTGCGCATGCTGCAGCCGATAATCTGCTGCTGGAAGGCATCCTTCACTCCTGCTGAGCTCTCCTGTTGCAAATAGCTCTGCAGGTCGGCTTGATCCAGATTGCTGCATTGACGCAGTTTGCTGCCCGCATTCATTAATATCTCAACATTTTTGACCGTGTAAATGGCCGCACATTGGTCCAAGCTGTTAATGGCACCCAATTCGGGCATTTGCAGGTCTCCAACAATGGCATCGAAAAGCAAATTTTGTATACTTAGTCTATTGCTGATATCATTCGATTGAACAGCTTCAGCTGTCGCATGGGTCTGAAAAATGAGATATATTGAGTAAAGAGATTTAAAGTTATATTAGAATAGAATTTGCATGTATTACAAGAAGGCTTACAAGAATATATGGTATATATTTGTTAGCTATTTCTAGAGAGAGCTACTTAAATTTTCTAGGATGCATACATATAAAATTATTATTCTGTGTATAATATTCTAGTGTATATAAAACTTTTTTGAAGAATTTGATTTCATAGTTAATAACAATTAAAATATAATAATACATTAACATTTAGTTATTTTAAGCTGTTAGAGAATTAAGAGATTTAAAGTTATATTAAAATAATGCCAGCGTGAGTTATCGGAACCTGGGGTATGCATATAAAATAAATGAAGGCATACAATTTGTTTGAATGCATATATTACAATTTTTATATCAGCTATAAAGTTGCTTTATGGCATAGAAAATTCAAATATATACATAATAAATAAATATAAATTAAATGCAGTCTAAACAGCTGGAGAATGAAATGAAAATAAGAAATTTCAACTATGGGAATCTAACTATAAAGATAATAATATTAATTTTAATAATCAGCTTTATACTTGATTTAGCTTTACATATAAAATTGTTGAATAGAAAATATTGGAGATAGCTTCCAAGATATTGTGTGGAAATAAATTGAAATTATTCAAGCTTAGGATATTTATCACTATATTATAATAAAATAATTAAATGATTATAAAATAAAAATAACAATAAAATAAATAATAATAATAAAAAATCGTTATAGCATTATTAATTTTATGTATATTAGATCATAATAATTACAAGATAATAAACATAAAATTATTATTATTATTTGCTATTATTATTATAATTTTTATTACATTCCACACTATTTATTCATTTTTGCACTTGACTAGTTCGTCAGCCATGCAATTTATATATAATTATATATTTTATTTTATCACATAAAATACGTATATATAATTTCTTATCATATCATATGATATTATATTATCTAAGCACACGAATACTTAAGGCTGCTAGGCAATTTGTACGAAGATATTGTAATATAATTTATCACTTTTAATAATATCGTCAGCGATATAAATACTTATGCAACTGAAATAGTTTCGATAAAGTTCAATTAGTACTCACCGTTGCGGTGAATAGCAGTGCACAGAGCACCACCAGTTTATAAAGAACCTCCATGGTGGCGGCTCCTTTCGTTTCTGAGTTGGACAATGTATCACCTGGGCATTTTAAATCAAATTTTTGCCCACAATCGATGACGACTTGAATTATTTGCCTTTTTTACTTATATATTTTATCAATAACTGCCCGAAGTCACAATTAACAAAGTGTTTTTATTTTTTCTTGGTGGGGCTTCCGCTCGTTGATAAGACAAAGACCAAGCAGCCTGATTGATGATTACAATTTTCTGCATACGGTTATTTTTTTCTTTTTTTTCTTTTCTATGTAGTGTGCTCACATATATGTAGAAAATATAGTTAGATACGATAATTGTGAGTAATTCGTAGACGAAAATTCTGGGAACACTGATTGCTTCTCGACACTTGAGGTACGCTCTGACATTAACCATCGATTGGCAGGCAAACGTTATCAAACTCAATAATTATTTTTAGATGTTATTGAATTTGAGACCTATTAAATCAATATATTGTTTTTGCCATATTGAGAAGGTCAAGTAAATAGAATATTAAAGCTCTTTATTCTGCGCCAATAAAACTTAAGATTGGCCATAAATTCCACAGCTCACATTTAGTAGGCAGGCTGCTCTGCGGCCAGAGGCTGAGCGGGCTTCTGTTCAGGTTTCTGTTCCGGCTTCTGCTCAGGTTTCTGCTCAGGCTTCTGCTCAGGTTTCTGCTCCGGCTGAGTCTGGGCGAGCTCTCTGCGCTCGGGCTCCCGCTCAGCTGGCAATTCACGCTGGTTGGGCACCTTGGCCATGCAGCTATTGAATTCATTGGCCGCCTCAATGGACTTTACCTTGGATTCGTCAACAGCAACGCTAATGCAGCTGGCGCGCTGCGTGGCAACAATGGTCGAGTTAGTGGCGAACTGAGATTGGGTCTGATAGGCCAGAGTGTTGGAGCTATCCAGCAGCTGCAGGTTCTTGTCGAACTAAAGGAGCCCAAGCATTAAATTGTCTACGCTAAATTGATGCTAAATTGAAAATCAAATGCAATTACTTACAGTGGACACGGTGCAGTTGATGAGACGCTGGCTATCGGTCTCATTGTTGCATTGTTGCAGACTCTTCTCCAGCGACAGATGCTGGGCGCGTATCTGGGCAACGGTGGCATTGGCGTTCTGTGTATTGGCCACCACGGTACGATTGGCCGCCTCCTCGCATTTGCTGGTGGCATTGGCCAACTCCTCGCTGATCTTGTAGGTCGCATTGGTGTACCTGTTGACGCAGGCGGTCTCAGCGGGCGATGCGGCCCGTGAAATGGCCAGCGGGGAGCTCAGCTGAGCCATGACTATGCGAAGCAGGCTCGACTCATCGGCCATGCGAGGCCAGGCGCTGGCCTGTAATCAAAATGGAACTTGTAATTTAAGTGGTTTCTACAAGTGGCGCCTACTTACGCCCAGCACTGTAACTGCGAGTAGTAGAACGCGTGTAAACAATTGCATCTTGTATCAGTTGCTTCTTGAAGTGCTTACTAATTGCTCATCTTAAAGTTCAGTTCCTTTTATAGCTGGGCGAATTCTCGCCTTTTCTCGGCCTGCTCTGAGTGAGTGCAGATTTTGACTTTTTTTTTTGTTCTTTTTGCAGCCTTAGATTAGATATGGCAATTGTACAAGGCAATTGGCACATTTAATTGGCTTTTCTTCAGTTTAAAGACAAGTAGCGACAAACCTTTGCAATGATATCTTGGCTGAGGTTATAGTGTAAGGCATGATAAATTGGCCCCCAAAAAGAGACGCAGACACACTAATCAGTGCTCATGTCCCATTAGTTGCGCTTATCAGACAGCTTCGAAACCGTGTCTTGATGTCTGTAGTCTTATCTAACAATATGATATAAGAACTTATTTATAAGCTATTTATATATTGACTGAATCACCTGAGCCATGCATTCGCATTTACTCAATTCAATTTGTTCAATTTACACGCGTCTTAATTAATTCCCTCACTTCGATTGTTCAAGTGGCAATTGATGATTTAAAAATGATTTTACATGATTCACTTATAAATTCAGTAACAGCCCACTATCAAACATCAGACACGGTGGCGTATCGAGACGCTTTCCCAGAACTGATAGGAAATCACCAAGACACCAAGACGGCTATAAATCTTAAATCAGCACAAAGCATTTCCATGAATTTTCTTATCATTTCCTTGAGGTTTTTTTTTTACATTTTTGTGATTTCTATTTACTTCAGGAACTGATCGAACCATGAATGGGAAAACACATTACGTTGGGTTTTTGGGTTATTAATCACTTAAGCGATATTATATACTCAATTTATTTATTTTTAGATATACCTCTTATCTATGTATATCTATTCTGGCTAGACTATTATTGCAGCCCTTTAGATAAAGATTTAAATTGTTTTTCTTCGTTTTCTTTTAATTATTTATATCAAACTATTATGCAATGTTTAGTTTAGTTTTTTGTTATCTTATATAATGCAAATAAAAATATTTATATATATTATATTTATACTACTGGGTATTGCCCAGCCTTGCCCGTGACAACATTTGTGATAACAATTTTATATATTATTTTCCGCCAGTGTAAAATTAATTTTCTGCTCAGACTATATTGAACTCAACTTATATTTAAAAATTAGCGTTTTTCGCGATTTTCTATGTTTGCGGGTGGAGTTCCCTAAAAGCCCGTCTTTGAATCCATCAGCTTACTAGCTCTTTCGGCTAGCTCATCAATCAGTCAGCTGGTCAGTCAGTTAATCAGTCAGTCAGAACAAACAAATAGAGATTACATAATCGAAAAAAATATTCGATCAGCTATATCTTTACTGTGTAAGTGTAAGTTTTTACTATATAGAAAATATAATTTAATAATTTCTACTCTCAAATATTTATTTGCAAAAATATGAAATATTAAAATGCTTACCAACAAATTTTTCGGTCTGTCCGTATAAATATGATAGGTTTTATTTTGTATTATTGTCATGAAAGAAAAAAAAATGGTTAATTGGCAGAAAAAAGCTATCAAGTAATTAGAAACCATTTATATTTGGTTTGTTTTATTTTTTCTTTTAGATTTTTTCACTGGATATCCATAACAATTACGAGTTTTTCTTTTAAATATTACAGGGAATATAATTATTCCCTTACGTATTATTTTCTACTTTTTAACTTTGAACTCAAATATCAAATCGAATATTCACTCATACGATAAATTAAAACCTATTCATTCATTAAAACGATTCGAAGTCATTTAAAATTCTAGGAAATGCCTGATAAATGGCAGAAGGATAAAGGCAGCTATAACCCTTCTCCATGCTAGCCTATAAATTTGTTAGCTCATAAGAAAGGTAAAGTCAGCTGAGTTCACCTGATTTTCAGTCAATTTGCAAACAATAAGGTTGAAATTCAATTCATTTTTCATAGATGGGTGTAGGCTGGCGAAAAAATCAGTGCCAAGATTGCCAAGTGAAAGCTGGCAAAACAATTTTGAAAAGTGGCTAAATTCACAGTTGCTAACAAATTTATCACAACATGCCAGCCCACACACACACACACACACACACACGCACACACATTTAAGCGTATGTAGATGTGCGACGCTCTCATATATCATGCGACATGGCAAACAAGATTTATAAGGTAAAACATGCTTTGAACAACTCTAGAGAAATAACGTCAAAAGCGGGGCCTCAAAAAGAAAATGTTTTTCTTTTGCTTTTTTCGGCGCACAACTCGAACGATTAATCAAAAGTATAAACTGCAGCCGCTGGCTGCAACTTTTACAGAGGTGTGTAGAGGGGCGTTGGGGTGTGGCCGCTGCTAATGGCACAAGCGCTGTGGCAAGCACTGCGGCCTGCCACAACGCAGTCAGCTTGCCTTGAGAGGCAGTGACAAAAAACCGTGATCCCAGCTCATATGCTCATTATACGCTGTTCAAAGGGTGAAGCCGGGTATGCTGGCTTTTGTGAAATGTCTTTCTATGAACAGCTCTTTGTACTTGCTATAAAAGCTAAGTTGGCAAACTTCTTATATTTACTCGAGTATACACAATTTAGATAGATAAAGATTATTTTTCTTTTTTCCACGCCTATCGAAAGCTAGTGCAATTGCAAAAATTGATATATATATATGTATATATCGGGTTCGACTTAACATATTCAATATGACTTTCTCCTGTGTAATAGCCTCTGTTGTCATCCCACTGTGTTGTACAGTGTTGTACAGAGACGCAAATCCTGCGCGATTTACAGCACAAACTGCTTTACTTAAAGTAACTCACACAGTACAACTTATCTAATCTCCCTCATGTATATATAAATTGTTAATGGCTCAATAATTCTTTTCACAGTTTGACATTCGCTGCCTTGTGGCTTATTGACATTGTCGCCAGGCCCATAAAACAGTATACTCTTTAATTTTTTACAAATTTTTTTCGGCTTTAATTTAACTGTGTATAGAGTATTTTGCAGTTGCCTGCAACCGATCGCAATGTTTGCCAATGTTGGCTAATTTGAATGTGGCCTGCCATTTTGTTTTTTTTTGGCAGTGTTGCAAAGTCAAGTGTGAGTCTTTTACGCTGAGCTGTCAACGCTTGAAATGCGACAGCTGTTCTTTGTATGTTGTCCTTGTTGTTTTTTCTCAATGGCCTGGCACTTTTAATGACACCATTGTCACCTTGGCCAACCCCAAAAGCTCTTCCTGTTAACCCCAACCCAGCTCCTTGCTCATTTGCTGCTCGCCACGTTGAGTGGGCGTCATGTAATGCGGCTTGAAGTGTCATTTACAGGCGCATTGTACTGCGGCAGCAGCTGCCTGTTTGGCTGGCACTTCGCTGGGCTCTGTTTGCGTTTTAAGTAGCTGTTAAGCATTTTCATTACACACGCCAAAATGCACAATGATTTATGCCAAGAACCGGGCACCGTTATCACGTGTTCGTTCTGCTGTCAACGGATTAAATACTCACACTCTACCTATAACTGAAGCCTGCCCTTTGTGCGTTGCCTTTTGCTGGCAGTTTATCATTAAAAAACAAAAAGAAAGGCAAGAAACAAATGAAAAAAATGACATTTCATGCCGCATGCCGCATACAAAGTATACAATACTCGGATATATGAGTGTTGCGCATTTTCAAGAC